TTCTTTTCTTCAAACTAATGGAATTTCATATAGGTGGGTGATCCCGGAGGGTGCCATCTTCAAGATCAACGATAAAAGAGAAAAGATTGATTCCACCTTTAAAGCTAAGGAATTTTTGCAACGCCAGCTGGGAATGGACGAAGATTCCAAAGAGGAAGAAACGAAATCAAGTGACTCTGCCACCTCTGGAACGGAGGAGGACTCTGCTGTGGAAACCGGTGCAGAGGCAGCCAGAGTAGTATATGACTTTAGAGACAGAAAACTGAAGTAAAGGCCAAAGGACTCTGAAAATTGCCTTTTGAAGCGAACAATAAGATGATGATCAGAAAGCTCTCTCATAACAACTAACAAATTAACATGTTAACACTGAAGCTGAGACAAACAAGAACTCTACAAGTATATTGTTTTATTAACACTTATATTACTAACACTTTCACTAACAGGGATAAGATCTCCTCCTCTTGGGGTTTTAGTACAGTGTGGTCACCTTTTCTTTGTCCCTAGATGTAGTCCCTTTCCTCCATATTTTCTTTGTAGTTTGTAGTGTATTGCAAAAATAAAAATATCCCTCCGGGGATTTTTAAAAAAAAAGATACAAACTGAAGCCAACCACCACAAAACTCCGCCTGGCAAACATAAGATATAAGTGGCTCCCCTCTGGCAAACTGCAGGTCTCACAGCATGGGAAAACTTACCATGCAACAGATGAAGACTCTGGTCTAAAGCTTCTACAAGCCCTGAAGATCTTGGATGATACAGTTCTTCGCAGATCGCAAAAAAGAAAGCTACACCTACTCACAACGCCGGAAAAGTTAACTAAGGTCCCTACTCTATCAAGCTCCACCCCGGAACTGGAAGATATTGCAGACATAATAAACATTTCCTCATAGCAACAATAGATTTTAGTTCTTGTTAAATAAATATTAAATTTTAATAACAGGGGAGGGAGGGGGGGTGTGGGTTCGCAACTGCCTCTTTATTACAGGACTCAACTGGTGGCTCACCACTGTTCCAAGGCAACGGACACCAAGTCAGCCTTTCCTTTCCAGCACGGTCCTTCAACAATTACCGTATTTTTTGGACCATAAGACTCACTTTTTCTTCCAAAAAAAGTGGGAGGAAAAGTGAGTGCATCTTATGGACCAAAGGTTCAGAATATTTTTTTCCCTGTTTTCCTCCTTTAAAAACTAGGTGCGTCTTAAGGTCAGGTGTGTCTTATGGTCCGAAAAATACGGTAACTTTCCACCTATTGACTTTGCATCTAACACTTTATTGCATTTCAACCCTTCAGTTTTTCTTGTTAGTGGCTGTACTTATTTTAACCTTTTTAAAGTCCTAATTGATTGCAAGGGGGAGGGGGGGACAGGGAGGTGACTGTCATATGCAAACTGCTCTATCAACCTGACTGTTGGAATTAACTACTTAATCACTAGTTTTACTCATAAAGGAATATTAACGCTGAGTCAATTTTAAATTTTTTATCCTTGTATTTAAAAGCCAATACTTCTGGAAATATCCATCTGTACGTAGTTGTGTTGTTTTGTAAAAAAGGGGTTAAATCTTTGTATTGTCTCCTTCACTTCCACACTTCAAATGGAATGTCCTTTAAGATTTTTATGTTTTCATTCTTAATTTTCAAAGTCTTTCCTGATGTGGCCTTGAGGACAGAATCTCTATGGATCTTTTGGCAAATTTCACATATACCTCGCCAGGTAGATTGCTTTTCTTTATAAAAT